ATTGTTTGGGGTTGTACTGTATTATATCGTTTTTGTTACATTATGATATCAGTAATGTAGAGGTGTCGCATTGTTTAGGGTTGTACTGTATAATATCGGGTTTTTTACATCATAATATCAGTAATGGAGAGGTGTCGCATTGTTGAGTTTGTACTGTATAACATCGTTTTTTGCATTATAATATCAGTAATGGAGAGGTGTCGCATTGTTAAAGTTGTACCTATAATATCGGTTTTTTTAACATTAAAATATCAGTAATGGAGAGGTGTCGCATTGTTTGGGGTTGTACTGTATTATATCGTTTTTTTAACATTAAAATATCAGTAATGGTGAGGTGTCGCATTGTTGAGGTTGTACTGTATCATATCGTTTTTTTTCATGATCATATCAGTAATGGAGATGTGTCGTATTGTTGAGGTTGTACTGTATAATATCGTTTTTTTTACATTATATGTTAGTGATGTGATGATTCAACAGATGTTGCAATGAGTTCAAATATATGTGTAATTATTAGCTTAGATATGTTAAGATAAGTCCTTTAGAACAGTTTTCAAGATAGCTGAAAACAATTTACTTTATTTCATTTATTTATTTTTAAGATTAATTTACTGAAATTTTTTTTTTTAAGAAATGCACAATCTAAACACTATCGATGTATCATATTGAAGTTAATATATCTCATTCACAGCCTGAAATCATTAGAACCGGTATTGTCCTGCACTTTTTACTTCGAAAAAACTCGTCGATTATTCCTAATTTGAGCTTATCCGGATACAGACGGAAAGAACCGATATGTTGCTATTGTTTGCATATGAAATTTGACCAATCAGAAGTTTTTACTTTCCCGCCATTTAAACAAATCTTCAACAGCTGCAAAAAGACCTCTCCTGTTTTTCAATAGAATATTGTCCCCTATAATGGCTGCCACTTTTTGGCCAGGTAAAATTGAAAAAATCGGAAACTTTAAATTGTTATTTGCCAACAGTACGTTTTTAACCATTTACCTCAAATAAACGCGAAACAACGCACTTTCGACCCCCCCCCCCCAATTTTTAGGCCTGAAATAGTGAAAAAATGTCCTATTTTGGCCCCAAACACATGTTTTTGTTTGAGATATGTTGCTTTAAAAAGTGAGCACTTTTTCGGCGCCGCCCCCATCCAGATAGGGGATCTGCCCCCTTCTGTTTCGGGGGTTTGAGGGGGGGGAGTCCCCCTCATCGCTGAGAAAATTTTGGACTTGTGAGAGGCTAAAAATGACCCCAGGTCGACCATAAGGTAACGTGTAACCAACGCTGAAAAGCCTTTGACTCTATCTCTATCCATTGAGCAGTTGCAGCACTTTGAAATAAATTTTGATGGAAAAAATTAAGGCAAAATAGTGATTTTTTGGCAGTTTTGAGATGTCCCCCCGTTGCCATTGTAACAGGAAATTTAAGACTGAGCATGTCGTTACAAAGGCAATGGTCCAGTCAACATTTGTGCCAAGTTTGATTAGCATTGAAGCATTTTTCATAGTTTCATAGCAGTTTGAACTTGTAACAGGAGGCTTTTCAGTGGAAACGGCCATTTTTCACAATATGCTCATGAGGGAAAGGGTTAATGATATGATAGGTCATGATTTTTTTTGTTCAACATGTTTAAACTTTACAAGTCATTGATCTAGATGTTAGAAGTCATTGTTCTAAGGACTCTAGGTTAACGGTAACATCTTTCATATTTTTCCATACAATAAGTTACAGTATATATTAATTTAACACGTACGTAGATACAGAAAGGAAATTGCCTTGTAAGGATACACAAGTGTTTCAACTTCAGCTCATCTTTGGATTGCGAACTTAAAAGATATTCTTGACTGTAGCACCAATAGTTTCACAACGTAAGTTTGTTAAAACTTTTTAAATTTCTTAATAATAATATAAGTATTTTTGTTATGTTTTATTTTCGTTTTCTGGCATTTAAAAGTGAGATTTTCGTAGTTCATTACAGTATATTTAATTTGGTATTAACTAAATGTCTTTAATTATGTTATTCTTTAAAAGTTGATGCTATTCAAGTATATAAAGCTATGCATCTGCTGTCTGTAGTTTATACAATTCTTGTTAGAACTTTGAAAAAAAATATGTTCAAAATACATATACGAAAAAAATGTTTTTTTTACAAAAATTCACTAATACTATTTTTGCATTACGTCAATCAATCAGGTATCATCCTTCACATATCTTGGCATCTCATTTGATTAAATATGATAAATAATAAAAGAATCAAAATAAATTTACCAACATATGCTTCCTATGTTTTGCATAATCTGTCAGTAAAAAAAAATAATTAAGTATACATGATTCCCCACAAATTACAATTGACATCGGTCGGTTCTGTAAAAAGTTTATATATATTCTAAAGAAAATTTAATACCGAAGAAGTTGTGGCCCTGAACTCTATTTGAACAACAAGTTTTATCTGTATTCCTAGACATTGAAAGTGTTTCAGCATATAATCTGTAAATGAAATGGGTTCACTTTTTTCTTTAAAATATTATTTTGAAGTCAGGGCATTAAAATTTGAATTTTTGTAAAAAGAATTCCTTATATTCTCTGTGGTATGGCATTATTTATGATCTATTAATGTTTTTGTCCCATCATTGTTCCGCCGTTTATAGCGTTCCTTACCTTCACTTTTGGCTTGATTTTCTTCGGTGTCCAACAGGGTGACATTCCGATGGTTCTTTGAAGAAGGTTGTATTTACACTTGATAACCCTTAACAACGCAAAATAAACTCGTCCGTCTAAAAATCTGAACAAAACCATTTATCATTTTTGAGGATAATTAAAAAAAGTGTACTGACTAAATAGCGAAAATTACAGACAATGATCAGACGACATTGATGCGGTGGTTGATCTTGGTTTTGCATTGGCCGCCTGGGTATACAGTTGCCGCAAGCAGGATAAGGGTCAATATATTTATACTCAGTCCAAAAGTTATCTTGAAAAATATCCTTTAGGGATAATTATTTTAAATCGATGTATGCGTTATTAAGCGTGACAAACATATGTCGACTTTAAAGTGAATTGGTTTATAATGGCAGTTTTGTACAATAGTATTATGTTGTCAGACATATAAAACGACGGATTTATAATAATAATAATATATGGAGGTTGTTGGCAAGTGTAAGATACATGGTTTGTTATTGAGTATATATATGTACATAGCAGATGGTCTATAACAGAATATTTTTATTCATCATAATTATAAACGCTTAGAACTTTATCAACATTTATTTGTCCCTTACAACTTTGTAAGAATATCCAAATGATACATTTATATTGTTTTTATAAATATTTGAAATACTTGCTGATTATGTGGCCAAATGTTGTGTAAATCAATTCACTTTAATTTGACAAAACGTTAACAAAAATCGATCGTGTGTACGTTAATCGTACGTTGTTCACTTCATTGCACTTTTCATTACTGTCAAGAGAGAAGAGTGATTTTTGGAAATAATAAGTTTATCTATTCATAGAAAGTCTTATTACTTATATTTTTTCTTTATTTTGTTCCAGAGTTCGTATATCAAATACTTTTTAAGTCTCAGAAATTATTAAGTTTGATCTTTCTGTAGAAAGGACATAATTGAGCCGCGTCACAATAAAACCAACATAATGGGTTTGCGACCAGCATGGATCAAGACCAGCCTGCACATCCGCGCAGTCTGATCAGGATCCATGCTGTTCGCTTACCAACCCTATTACAAGTAGGGAAACTGATAGCGAACAGCATGGATCCTAATCTGACTGCGCGGATGCGCAGACTGGTCTGGATCCATACTGGTCGCAAACCCATTATGTTGGTTTTGTCATGACGCGACTCAAATGTATTTTAAAATGTATGACCAATGCATATCAGCTTACAAAACTATCGCTGAATGTAAATCTTTTGTGATTAATTATATATAATTAGCAAAATATAATCAAAAAAATATATTGACTTCTTTTTAAAATAAATTACTATAAAAAAAACATGCCAGAATGCAAAAACTATTGGCAGCGTTTTTGAAACGGTTAAGACTAGCACCCAATAATAAAAGGCATTTGAATGCACTCTTGAGGCTTTATATGCCATTTTCATACTACACATTGATGATTTATGTTTTTTCTCATTTAACAACGAATAAAAGTATAAAAAAGAAAGTAATTACAAGAAAAATTGACCGCTCACCGAAGGAGTCTTAATTTTCAGCAAATTTTGTAGAGGAATACCTAATAATCATTGCTGATAAGATTCAATCAAATCAGAAGTAGTTAAAGAGGAGATGGTGTTTTAGCAACGTACATATACATCACATTTTATGTTTAAATTTAGAATTCTTCTTAAGCCGGTGTTATGGGGGCGTGGACGGTAGTTTGCACTTGACATTACCGTCCACGAACTGGCTCAATAAATCCGAGCCTGCAACATTTTCAATTTTGCCGTGTTAGGCTTCCTTTAAGGATTCATTTTTTCTCTACTTAGCAATTTTAAGTAAAGGACCGCTTGTGGATAAATTCTGTAGTGTTTCATTCAAGATAAGATGTTGTTTGAGAAAAAAAATATTAATTCAAATTTAACAAGCGACATAGGAGATGTCATCTAACGCAGATTTCTATGGTTAGCTCTGGCAAATATGTTGTTCAACATATCAGTGCAATTGTCGTTTACCAATCCCCAAAATATGTTGTTTAAGTAAACTGTTAAAGAAGGACTACTTAGATATCACAGTAGCTTACATTGAGCACTTTGTTTTCTTGTAGCCAAACATTGAGAGATGCCTTTCTTTCTCGTTCCGAAATAGCTACCAGCATTTCAAAGTGCGGACGTGACCGTTTAAAAAATATGAATAAGTACAAATGAACTTCGAAGAGTATCATGTGTTGCCAGTGACGGAAAAAAAATCAAATTGTCAATAATACTTGGAAATTGAGCGACATATGTGAACTGTCACTGATAAAATGATAACGTTTTAAATTACTGAAACATTTAAGATTGATGAAATAGATGGTAAAATAAAAGAAGATTTTTTGTTTAGTTCAGTTTATGATCGGAATATATTTTACTGAGTGAGCATCAGAAGGTATATTTCACGAGTCGGTATATTTTATCATATGCAAAAAAACATCTAAAAAGACATTGCTAAATGAAAAAAAACGCGCCAAATAATATGACAGGATGTCGTTATTTTCAAACTGAATTTCATTGTTTCAAACATGGAACTATCAGTTTTATATTTCACTGATATATAGAGGATACATGTTTAGTTTAGTTAAAGATCGGAATATATTTCACCGAGTGAGCACCAAAAGATATATTTCACGATAGGCACAGCCACGAGTTGAATATGAACTTTTGGTGTTCACAAGGTGAAATATATTTCGATCTTACACTAAACCAAACAAATTTTCTATTTGTTATATGCAAAGAAACGTTTTAAAAAGACATTTAACCTAATACTGTTTTAAACAATGAAATTATCAGTTTTATATCACTGATATATTTCTATAAAAATCTGGAGACAAAGTGATCCCTTGGAAGCATTAATCACAACAAAAATTGCAAAAAAGGGGTAATGAATACGTGCATCATCCCTCACGTCCAATCTTAATAGTGCTGGCATCAACGATCCCGAAGGACCAGAAAAATATAACAACACTGAAGTGAAGTACGGGGCAACTTTTTACAGCTGCCACACAGCACTTGACACCTGCTGTTGTGAAGTATAAAAATCTGGAGACAAAGTTATCCCTTGGAAGCATTAATCACAGCAAAATTCTAGAGAATTGCAGACTCGGTTTGGTTGAGTCTGTACATGAGGGATAATGAAACGTGCAACCACCGAAAAGCATGTCATAAATTTCCATTAACCACTGAAAAAAACAACATGTCATTAAGGAGTTTGTTAAAAATTCTGTATATAAATACTGCAACTCAACTATGTGGTTGCAGTAAGGATATCATGTTTATCTTTACCACAAATTAAGTACAGTATGTTAATAAATTCAAATTGTGTGGTTATAATTCCTGATTTTTTATTCCTGGATGTTAACTGCAATATCTGCACATAGGTGCGTTTGTAGAAGCTGCATACCTCCGATTTATGCTTTTTTTCAATACGGTTCATTTCCCCTCTCCAGTGTTTTCTTACATGCTTATTTAACAAATTTCTTCCTTTTTTAAGTAGAAAATAATGATATCACTGTTCGCAGGATTTTTTTTAAAAAAATTGTCAACAAACTCCTAAAAGACATAGGGGATAGTATGTTTAGTTTAAAGCAAATTAAAGGACTGAAGCTTATAAGCTTAAATAGGAACAAACAAAAACAATGAAAGCGATATATTGTTCTGACAACTGGGGCATTTTAAACTGAAAAAAAAAGACAAAAATACTAACGAAATATGCTTAGTCTTAAAATTAAAATCGATGAAATATTTATCGCGATTCTTACCTCATTTTGAGTTGCAAGCGTTTATAATTGCTTTCCTTTTTTGGAACTTTTTGCACTTAAACAAAATGAGTATAATGGAAAAAAAACGGATTAAGCGAATTATCAGAAATTTATACACACAAGTTATTTATATATACCAACATCAGTTTAAATAAATATATGAAATAAAATGTTCCATATCCTGTCATGTCAGGAAATCTTAGTGGGACCCTTTAAGCTTCAGAAATTACGATATATCCTCTGGAGAAAGTGCAACCCCGATTTTTATATTTTTCATAATGAATACAATGCGTGTTTTGAAAATGCTTACACCACTTGAAGAAAGAAGCGTCGAAGTTAAATGGTTCAATAGATTATCATAAAAATAAAATGTTAATAAAGTGGCGTTTTGTGTTTGATACAATAAAATAAATCACAAAATGATGAAGTATTTAAGGGTGTACCACAGCTATACGAGTGCCGTTGATTAAACTTTCAAACGAACATCAAAAATTAATAGCTGTTGAAAAAAAGAGAAATAATAGCGGTTTGAGTGCTTATTAGGTATTTAAACGCACAATATATGCTTCAGAAGTCCAATTTAAGAAAATCTTTAGAATTGTCAAACATTTTTATAATAATGTTATAATAACCTATCAAGAACATGTTAGATGTTTAACAACTGAAGAAGTAGCACTGATTGTGAAGTAATGTGATGTAAAGGTAGCAAAACGTAAACAGAAAGTATGTTTTTGACTTCCATATAAAATAGTAATATTCACTATAATTATACAAATTGCCAACATAGCATAATCAGCTAGATTGTGTATATGGCAAATAAGTATTTTTGAAAACTGTCACAAGATGCCAAACATAACAAAGGTTTTTGAGAAATAAAAAAGGTGGCATTTCTGAGACATAAAGGGCCTTTAAACCAGAAATTGCGATGCGGGCCTTTCAACCAGAAATTGCGATGCGTTTGGACACATATCGTTTCGTAGGGAAGTGATTATGTTAAAATAAATATATTTTTTTCATTAATTAATCATAATACTTAAGTTTTAACTTGTTGAGCATTGATAGTGCAAAATATCATTTAAAATGGCTGAAAAATATCTTTGAATTTAACAGAGTACATATTTATAGCTTATATTAAAAATGTGATATTAAACTTCAGATTTTGACTTGTTCTTGGATTTTCCTGTCTTCTTCGACTTCATTGGTTTAGCACTACAGAATCATAAGATATGCAGAAAATTACAGGTTATATCGTGGTAAGTAAACTCTTGTATCTCCAGCAACTTAATATTTGCCATTACTGAAAACTTGCTGATTTTAAAACATTTCATTTCAGCTTTTTATCCCCGGTCTGTTGTAGCGAAACTTTTTGGTGTTGAACAAATTGTTTTATAAATACATGTACAGTACTTGACCAGGGCGTTGACATCTTGCTTGTGAAACTATTAAATCCCAAGTAACAGATTGTATTGATTGATAACTGAAAAAAAACCACTTAAGTTTACAATAGTGATAAAATCTTTATCAATATGAAAACACATTGATAGGATAGAAAATTGTATTCATGCTCAATCAATATTATATTGATTAATGTACTTGTACAATACTAGAGTGAAATGTTTCAAGTTTTTCATAAAAATGATTGTAGAAAGCCCTTAGAAAAATAAAAGCATGCGGGCGGGGCGGGATCCAACACTTGTTTTTTTATACGTTTAACGACGTAAAAAGAAATAAAAAGAACATTAACTGTAAAAAATCAACAATTATTTCAACTTAAATCTCATATGCGATTATAAGTATGTCCTTTACGTGATGTTCTAATTAAAATGATAGAACAGGTCGGACAATTATTATTGACAGTGGAAAGTTGAAACTTAATTGGAATTGAGTAATCATCGTATGTTAAGTCATGTACGAGTATTGATCAAAATGTTCTTGGCCCGATGTACTTCCGATAGTCAGAGAATCTAACAAATGGTCTTACTTTTCAATACAATCGTTCTCTACATCAATGCACTTTGCCCACCTGTGCTCCAACTTGTTTAAACCTTCAAAATAGAACTCTCTATTTTAATCATTAACGAACTCATTGACAGTCTCCATGACACCTTTATTGCTTCCAAAACGTCTACCACGAAGCTTGGCTTTTATTTTAAGAAACAGGTAGAAGTCAGGGGGGACCAAGAGAATATGGAGGATGGGGAAGAATTTCAAAGTCGCAGTCAGTTGCAGCATCCCTCGCAACATGGGATGTGTGAGCTGGCGCATTGTCGTGCATGAGCAGAACGCATTGAATCTGTTTGTCTCTTCTTTTTCACACAGACGTTTCAATTCGTCTTCATATATAGTACGTACCGTTTATGGTACGACCTTGCTCAAGTCAATTATGATTATCCCTTGACTATCCCTTTGACATGCCATAAACATCAGTCAGAATTGTCAGACATTGTCCAGTATATTGAATGTGCTAGAACCCACATCTTAGTCATCTTAAAGCATATTGGTCTGCAATTGGGATATTTTCTAAAGGAATTCAAAATCCTTATATAAACAATAGAAATCTATCATTTAAATATACTTATAGAATATTTCTTGCAAATAAGAATGTTGATAGAGTTTTAAGTGATTTAGAATGAACAATTATAATTACGATGAATTACAACAAGAAAATCTTTAAAAAAAAAAGTTAATATCTATGAATTATCGGACCATCATACTACTCAGATGCCCGTCTGTGCCTTCAATACTTCACGGAGGGGAACCGGGGGTCCTCGTCCGCCAGTAAGGCTGTGACCTTTACAGTGTTCATGCAACGAAAAAACCCAACGAATTGTCTCTGACATCTACCAAGAACATCCATAAATAATTCATTTGTGGTGTGTACTATATCATGTCAACATGATAATTAATATAATTACAGAGCTTCACTTTAAAGACTTTTACTTTCGTTTCTTCATTTTTTACAAAGACAAAGAAGGAAAAATTAAATCTGCTCTTGAAAATGACCACAAGTTAGCAAAACCTCAATTCCAGGGGCAGATAATTTTAAAAGTAAATTTCTTTCTTTAAAATTGTTTCAATCATGTTTCTCTTTAATCATTAAAACTTTTTAAAAATCAGTTCAGTATCTTAAATTTTCCTTCTTTGCCAATATAAAAATGAAGAACCTATTGAAAACATTTTTTTAATTGCTAAAAAAAGATCGTTAACTATGTTTTGTTTGTATGGAAAAATGTATAGGAGTAAAATTTATTTATTCTTTTCGACAGGTTATAATTCTGGTAGCTTTGTGCCATACTGTGTTTTCTTCGCCACCAAAGTCTAGTAAAGCAAAAGCAAATGTTGGTTCCATAAATTGCGATTCAAATGATGATGTAAGTTTAAAAAAAAATGTTGTCATCTGAAAATGTTTTCTCTTGATTAGAAAAATGTGTTCGTTCATAAGGACAGCCTATGTATCATTTGTTTTTAGATGTTATACTTTGGATTTGATATTTGAGCAGCGTCACGACAAAACCAACATAATGGGGTTGCGACCACATGGATCCATACCAGCCTGCGCATCCGCGCAGTCTGATCAGGATCCATGCTGTACGCTTACAAACCCTATAACAAGTAGAGAAACTGATAGCGAACAGCATGGATCCTGATCAGACTGCGCGGATGCGCAGGCTGGTTTGGATCCATGCTGGTCGCAAACCCATTATGTTTGTTTTGTCGTGACACGGCTCATTTACTTAAAACTACACATAATTTATCTCTCATGAAATGCTTGTTAAATAAGATGAACTTTTGCCACAGCCTCTGATGTTATAGATTTTTTAACATTCTATGCTTTTATTTTACCTTGTTTTACACCAAGAGGCCAAATTGGAGCATCCATTTCTTCACAAATATCTCTAACATACTGATGGAAAGCCGTGTCTTTTTGATGAAGTCGTTATTTTTAAGCAATTAATACATTCCCTCTCCCTACTCTTAACTTTTATTTGAAGACCACAAACAATGACATATGCTTTATTTGTTAAGAAATAGGTCACATTATATGGTGACATTCTTAAAGCATTTATTAGAATTAGACAGATCAGAGATTTATGCATAAAAGTCGAATCTAGTTAAAAACCTTTAGCCTGTTAATTTTTTTTAATTGACATATCAAATATCAATGTTTGGAATTGTCCATTGTCAGCTTTAGGCAAATCAAAATTTGAATTCAAAATAAGCCAACGTTATAGAACTTAACCAGAATGCATGGATGTACCGCCTGAGATGATTGTGACAAAGGTAAATCACTTCCGGTTGATTTACGTATTTCTTTTATGAAAGATATACTCTTTATGTTTATAAACTAACTTTGCAATCTGAATGATTCAACTTGCCTATAACAGAGTAAAATCAATTGTGGTCTTTATGTTTGCCCTGTTATAAGTGTTTTAGCAAGCGGTTATAACTTCTTAAGTGGCAAATATGAATTCACTTACAGTGTCCAGAAAAGTATGCTTGTCTGTCAAAATCGGCTGGAAAGGGGAAAGGGAAAGGCCGAATGAAGTGTTACCAGTGTAAGTAATTTACCTATGCTTACTTTCGACACTCGTGATCTTGTTTTTTTTTCTTTTGTCTTTGTTAGTTAGTTACTGATGACATCAGTTATTACATACATCGTACATGAAATGATAAACTGTTTGATCTGATTCCTAGAAAAGAAAATAAAACGTCTCACATAGAGGAACTGTTTATTATTTCTTTATTTTAGGTGAGTGTGCGTTACCAAGCCAATGTTATTTCAATGGGAGCCGTGAAACATCGTGTAACTGTACTGACAGTGGATTTGAGGGAGAATTCTGCAACATAAGTAAAAATATTTTGTGTTGTTGCTGTTCTTTTTTTATAGCAAATGTTTTTAAATGTATTACTTTTATAATACAGTCTAAAGGTATGCGTAAACCGTTTTGTGTGTTGTTTATATGAACCAAAACATATAACTACATTAAAAAAATGTAATCATGCTGCTATGAAGTGTAGTTCATTTAACTGATTTTTCTTATTTGATTTTTTTTAATTGCCTTTTTTTGTTGTTGTAATTGATGCTTTGGTTCGTTTTTATTTTGTTTTGCCATTGAATTTTTTTGCTATTTATTTCTTTTGGTGATATAATCCATTTTATTTACAAACAGAACTAGGGGGAACTAATAATTTTATTTTCTATATTATCTCCCTTTATAAAGAAATATAGTTTTTATTACGAGGAAACGTTGTAAAAGCTATTTTCCTATATTTTACAAGGGTATCTTCAATCCATTTCGTAGTAAAATTCCACCCGTTAAAGTATTTCGCTAATATAGTTGCAAGTTTATTGTATTTGTTAGTACATTTTTTCAAAAAACTGTTTACATTAAGATGATTATAAATCAGAACAAATTACAATGAACTGGTAAACTTCATAAGGTTTGGCTTCCCAAGCTGAAATCTTAATGCTTCTTAATTCTAATAAACTATGAAAGTAATTAATGCCTTTGCTGTTGATATAAATGATTGTGGTTAAGATGATGATGATGGTGATGATGATTATAACACGTACGATATTACCTTTTCATATAAACAGGTATTGTCTGTACAGAAAACACTTGTCAAAACGGCGGGACATGCACCGTAACCGGGCCAACAACGTATGACTGTGAGTGCGTTCCACCATTTAGTGGCACTAACTGCGAGATTGGTAAACGTTTTGTCTTAAAAAAAAAAACTTATATATTTACATAACAAATTATTTCGTGTTCTTGATTCCCAATTGCAACTATGCAAACTACATGAATACAGTATTTTTTATACATCGACCAGATTTATTTTATAGTGGTTATATTTTCAATACCATCGAAGACAGTTCAATAATATACAAATTCTCAAAGACATTCACGTGATCTGTGACATCAAAAGGCGACTTTGAGTTTAATGGCGGCACACGTAAACAAACTTACTTTCAAACAACGGGAAGGAGAAAATTATTATGTTCTTTCATCGCTTATAAACAAACTTGGTTTAAATCCTATTAACTTAACGTACAATACTGAAATTGCTACATTTAGATGAAATATTGCATATTTTGTAAGTCAACAGTCTAGAAATCTAAGCATTATAATGAAAACCACGGCTCTGAAAGATTGAAAAACTGAATGATTGAAAAACTGAATGATTGAAAAACTGAAGCTATGGTGCGATGATAAGACAAACTCGTGATTTTTTTCACTGCATCAATCCATTTTTAAAAAGAGAACTAGTTTTTTTAAAGAATTGAGGAAATTTGTCTGTTTACGTGTGCCGCCATTCAACTACATATCAAACCTAATGTCACAAGTATGGTGGCTGATTTGTGCCATTCGTGTCGTGGTATGGCACATCCTGAATACTTTTGTTTTTTTTTACACTTTATAAAATGTAACCAATTAGCTCATTTCCAGTCATTTCCAGTGAACAATGTGATCTCCCAGTAATCAATATTGTGTCCAATCTTATCAATTTAGCGACGTTTTTATTTGGTTATTCAAACGATCAAAACCAGAGCTCTATTGAACCCCTTCTAGCTTTTTGATTCCAGTTTCTGAGAAAAATAAATAAATAAAAAAGTATAAATCTTATTCCTTAGATTCCATATTTTTTTAGGTTCAAACAATATCATGATTGTTCTCAATGTCACAAAGTTCTATAAAAAATGTCAAAACTGTTGTGGTTTGAAATTAAGATGTCATTATACCTAGGCCTTGTTGAGTACGATACTGATTCTATTAGACTCAAATACAGACTCACATACAGAGCTCTGTAAGAGCTTTTTCAGACTCGGTTAGCTTCTCAATAAGATTTGAGAGCTGTGTACACGTCCATTTAAACTCAGTATCGAACTTTTTATACAGTTTATGATCACCTCATGATAATAAAAAATAAACTTTTATTTATCTGTCTTCAGAGACAATCGTGTGACAATAAGACAGATTAATTTGTATGTTTTTCATATTAGCTATTCATTAAACTGATAAATATCTTGTACATGTACACATACATATGTGATTATAGTTATAGGGCCTAATCCATGCCTACCTAATCCATGTGAAAATGGGGGAACGTGCTCCAGTACTAGTGGTCAATTTACGTGCGGCTGCCCACCTGGTTATACTGGAAACAGGTGTCAAACTCAAATGTATGTATTACACACATTTTTTTTTTATTTTATTTTTTTTTTTTTTTTTTTTTGTAAATATATTAGAGAATTGTGATTATTAGTGATTACTGGTGAAGTATTATAGAATATTTAGATGATTATTAAATAATTATTAATGGAATATTAGAAGATTATTAAAGGACTATTAGAGAATTGTCTGGCAATGGTATCTTCTGATCAATCCAAGTGTCATATCAGAAATTTCAGTTATCTTTTTTATATATTTTGTGTCCAATATGAGTTCTCAGCCCTGTAAGTATCTTTTTTATGTCACAATAGAAATTTCAGTTCCCTGTTCCATATGTCTGTTTGAAATCAATCAATCATTTATGTACAATTACACAATGAAATGTATCATTATTTGACAATTAATTTTATCTATATATATTAAGGTCTTCTTTGTATTACTTCTTGTATTACTTCTTGCATTTTTTTCTTTTATTTCAGCTGATGAACAAATCACTTTGTCAATTACCGCTGCCTTGACCGTACTTTATCATATTATTACTACGATGTAAAAAATAACAATAATTTAATTATTTCCAAGTTTTATTGATTTCAAATAATTTCATATCTATAGCAATTACGGCAATAAATTTCAAAAGACATTTTTTCTACTCTTACAGTTTTCTATTGTCTCCATTTTGAAGTTATATAATTATATGCCCTCTTAACCCAGGGATTGTGAGATAGACTCCTTTTTGTGTCATGGTCATGTATCCTTTCATGACGCCTGTACTAGATTGTTCCAAAATGCGGACTCAGGGGTGTTTTCCTTCCACAATCGAGCTATGAAAACTAATTTTTAAACTAAAAATATAGACTTGAACTCATCTCTGTAGTGGAAAAAGTCTCCATTTTGTAAGTAAAAAGGGTACACGTGTAATAGGAATCAAATATACCTAATTATCAGGATTGTTAAGTTAACATTTACCTTGCTGAAACTGAAGTGAGTAGACTTTGCCTCCAGTAAAGATCCAGGCCAATCTGCACTCCAATACCAGCATGACCAAACTCTATATTGCTGCCTTACCAATTCCAAATTTATACCTCGATATCCCCCAAAATTCATATTTGACAGTTCCGAGTTTGAAATATATACGAGGCGAGAATTCAAAGGGTAAAGAGTTAAATTGATGTTGTAATACAATATTAGAGTAATGTAAGAACATTGATGAGAATAAAAGATAGAAATAGAATTTGTAAAAGAAAATGGAAGGAAGAAGAAACTGATGAAGGAAAATGCGATGGATATACCAAAATATGCGTATGAATGTAAAAAAAGAAACAATAACAACAATTACAAAGAATATATAAATAAACACTTATTTAATGCATTGTAAATCATCTCTTTAGATCTTCCTTTTATATTTTAAGATTTAAAAAGTACTGACAGACTTTCCACCATGATACCAAGTAGAAATGTTAAGTACTAAAACTGCTGGTCACGTTATCAATGGGACAAATTATTGAAAGATTATAAAGCATAAAGGAATGAAAGAAAAAAAAACACACCAAAACCTGTAAAATAGCATGTAGAAATGTTTATTTATCAGAATCAAGTCAGGAATGATGAAAATGAATATTTAACGCAAAAAACCCATATATTTTGGAGGAAAGTAACTGAATATTGCATTATATAATTCATTCATTAGAAAAGATCAGTGAAGACAGCGACCTTAGAAGTATACGTCAACCGTTAAGTCCTTTAAAGATATACTGTGCTCATCCTTGAATAAAATATTTTTATCACAGATATTTATTTAAATTTATGAAATTTTAACTTTTGTGTCTAACTTGAATAGAGGAATTAATAAACTATGCACAGGAAGCTGCGTTCAAGATGAAACTACCATTTTCATTGACTGAAATAAGTCATGGCCACAAGATAATAACGCGTGGCCTCGAGATAATATTTTAAGGCCTTAATATAATAAGTAGTGGCCACGAGATAAAATAAAACTGCAAATATCACCTCTATGCCACCGTAGTTTTATAACGGAATACGTCTTTACTAAAATATGGAAACAAGCCCTACACAATAACTTGTTCAGGGGACTCAGCTGGTTATTCGCGTGAATCCCCAACTACCAACCAGAAAGAAGTTGGTTACTGGAACATAACATGTATTTCTCTAAAAAATAAAGATAAAAAATCAGAATAAAAGTAGCAGATATATAACAATATGGATGAATTCTACCAAATGGTACCGCCCTGTCTCACTACGTCGACCGGCGGACGAATTAAGTTCTCATTATCAATAACCTTCTGTTAAGTAGTTGGGGATTCACTTGAGTAACAGCAAGGTCCCGTCCTTTATTATTGGTTTTAAAATATATGGATTTGTTTTCATTTTCTGAACATATGAACATTTCTGAAGAAAGAACGAAACCCTTGTTTGTTTTAAATACATGTATTGTTCAATGTGTGATATGTTTACTTTGATGACAGTTATATTATCTTTTTGAAGCTGTTTACCCATTGTTGATTCGTACTTAAGGTGATTATACATTGTTGAGTACAATATTGAATTCTATTGTACAAATACACACCTGTCAAAACTGTATTGGACGAGTCGCTAGCCGTGTTTTATAAAGGTTTTGCAGCTGTATAGTAGTCCAATAGAAACAGCATTGTTCTCAACCATGTTAAATGACCTCTTTTTTCGCACTACAATTTTTAACTTTTTGACAGAACTTTGTTATTTCTATCAGAAAAAGGATGTGATATGGATTTTAGGGTCTCAAAATTGAAACGAGGCTAGATGGAGTGTGATATGGATTTGATATAGGACTGGACTGGTGCGAGTTTTTCAGTCTTTCAGTTGTCACACCTTAACTGGCTTGAAAAAAGTCAATGGCTGGACAACTTTTCTTCTTTCTTTTTTTTAAATTACAAACAAGAAACTTCACTAATTTATAAGAAATGACGATCATGTCTCAGGCATAATGTAACCATAGTTTTGACTTTCCTTGTTTCCTTTTCAATCTATAAGAAACACGCAATTATAAGCATTCAAAATGAACGAGTGCTTTCTTTTAGAATCCGGCATCTCTTTGTGTCTCAGGTTGTATCCATTGATTTTTGTGTAATCAAAATACTCGTATATTATCCATGTCCGCTCACTCCTTTTTTACGGCATGAGTTCTTATAACTGAGCTCTTAAATTTATTATGAAACGTGACAGAAGTATGATGTTTTGTAGCAACGGCAAACGGAAATTTAATCATTATACCATTATTTTATCGTAAATGAGCGTCAAGTTGGTAGGTAGTAGGTAGTTAGATATTCGAATAACTAACTACCTACTAGCTGGTGGTTGGGTATTCGTAATTCCCAACCATCTAACAGGT